GGTGTGGGTGTGGGGTGTGGGTGTGGGGTGTGGGTGGGTGTGGGTGTTGGTGTGGGGTGTGGGTGTGGGTGTGGGTGGGTGTGGGTGTGAGTTAATACTACAGAAACACACTCACCCACACCCCCACACCCCACAGCCACACCCACACACCCACACCCACACCCTAGACCCACACCTCACACTCACATCTACATCCTTGTTGAATGCAATAAAATATTACCGAAGACTAAATAGTCCTAAGGGAGTGTATCAACCTTTGGTATTTTAGACAATAATAATGAAATCTATAAGTTTTTCATGCTCTGGAAAATGACACATGAATTATGTTTACTGTTATCTTCTCTATTAGATTACCTGGAGTCACACAGGTGCAACGATATTGATGAAGATTGTGAATTACCAGTATATTATTATCAGAATCTTGAAATTTTTTATTTTTTTTTACGTTTAGAGAAAAGTATCTATATCAAAAATTAATGTCAATTTAGTTATTTTGAGTAAATTAAATGGCTATAATAAAGATGTTGAAGCATTCAAGACGTAAGTTATATCGCTTATTAAAAAAATAGAGAGTATTTTTAGTATTGTTATAAGAAAGAGTTCGATTATATTTGTTCGTACAAATGAAAATATTGAGTAGTTCGAAGTATTTGAATCTAAATCATTTATTAGTAAAGTATTGGATATGTTGTTGGTTTTTTTTAATTGGAGGAAAGAATTTTTTTTCGTTTATAAGAGATATAGGTAATTTCGAAGGTCTCGGTAAAATGATAGATAATTATGTCGAAGTTCCGTTGAGACTCAAAATTTACGGTTTTCATTATCACCTATTAAGATTTGTCTAAACTACTGGATGATCTGTTCACAGCTAGATCGATCTATGAACACCATAAAATATAATGACAATTTCTCTAATGTAGTCATAGAAGATACGTTCAATCTTTCATTGATCATTTCATGAACAGGCGAAGTTATTTCAAAATAAGTTTTACATTAAACAGTATTATAAGTTAATATCCACTATTTAGAGCTTTCATATTTTCTGTGGTATATTTTGGATTGAGTAAGGGATTAAATAATTGTTTTTAGGTAAATATATTTTACTTTATATATATATTTGAACTAATCCAAAAATAAACAAAATGGATCAACTTGGACAAATAATGGTTTGTCTATTAGAAAAAAAATTAAAAGCAATTTAGTTTTTGCTTTTAATACTCAATGAATCCAGAATTTGGTATCGACCATCTTTCAAAAAGTCATGAACAAGTATCCCAAACATATTAGAAAAATCATGTGTATTATATCTAGTAGGAATGATCAGGAAATATTATTCTATTTATTTTTCATTTAATTATAATGTTTGTAAATTTAATAGTTTAATATTCGAAGTTTTTAGAATTGGTAAGATAGGTAGATCGAATGCAAAATATATTTAATAATAGAGACAATACGAGAATAAATGTTTATGTAATTGAAAGAATTATTGATTCAAAAGTCTTTGATTAAACGGGTAAGTTTGAAAAATAGTTCGGCTTTGTCAATGATGCTAAAAGAATGTGTACTGGTGATAAATAATAGATTTTTTGAATACATTGTGTTGATAAGATTAATTTTTTTTAAATTGTTTTTTTTTTGTTGTTATTTTTAATAATTAACAAAAAAATATCGACCTATTTATTTATTTCATGATATTATATTTTTAGCAAATAGTTACTGAGTATTTTTTTTCTCTATCACACCTATTTTCCATGTGAACATATAAAAAAAACAAATATTTGAATTCGCGTCTTTTTAATTTTTCGAATCAAATAATAAAAGAAGAGTAAATTCGAGAATACAGGTAAATAAATATAATTATGAAGAGAAGGGTTATATATAGATACAACTCCTTGAAATTAGATCGAAGATTCTTGTTTATTTAGAAATGTACCTAACGGCCACATAACGAATAAACAATGGAGCGCCTAATCAAAAAATTAGTTGTCCGACAAACGTATCATTTGTCTTTTTTCTATTTGTCTTATTCATAAAAGAATACAACATACTGATGAAGCATGTCTTTTATTTATTTTTTCATTGGACCATAGATAACCTATACTCTGCAATGACCGATAAGTGCGAAAAAATGAATAGAGAAATGTATGTCTTAATGACGTTTTAGACAAAAAGAAAAAGAATTATATATTTTTTAACATCCAAAATATGTGCTGAAAACAGGTTCATCCTTTTTTATTTTTCGTTTATTTATTGGTCTTCACGACAGCAACGGGCTTCTTTAAGCAGAATGTAAAAGAAAAACAAATTAATCATATATATAGACACACATTTCCTGCGTTTTTTTTTATTTAAATTTTTTTTCAGATCAAAACTAAGCATGTTGTTGTTGTTAACGTCTGATAATATTTAAAGTAATGGTTATCATTATCACGATTTATATTCAAACGAAAATGATGATTTTGTTATAACTGGTGTTAGTGGTCGATTTTCAGAAACAAATTCCATTGATGAATTTGTTTATAATCTTTTTTTATAATGGTATTGATATGATTACAGCTGATGATTGTCGTTGGCCACAAGGTCAATATGGTCTTCCAACACGTAATGGAAAATTAAAAGAAGTTGATCGATTTGATGTTGCATTCTTTAATCTTCATTCAAAACAAGCACATAATATGGATCCACAATTACGTCTTTTACTTGAAGTTACATATGAAAGTATATGTAATGCTGGAATAAATCCAATAAAATTAAAAGGTACAAAAACTGATGTTTTTATTGGTGCAAATGGTTCAGATGCTCAAAATGTATTTTCATCCGATCCTCAAACATTTGAAGATTATAGTATGACTGGTTGTGCAATATCAATGTTTGCTAATCGTCTTAGTTATTTTTTTTTAATTTTAAAGGACCATCTTATACTGTCGATACAGCTTGTTCATCAAGTCTTTTAGCACTTGATTGTGCATTAAATGCATTACGAAATGATTCATGTCATGCTGCCATTGTTGGTGGTGTTAATCTTTGTTTTCGTTCTCAAACTTCAGTACAATTTCTTAAATTACACATGCTTTCAAATGATGGTACATGTCGTGCATTTGATTCAAATGGTACAGGTTATGTTCGATCAGAAACAATTGCTACTATATTTATACAAAAACGACAAGATACTAAACGTTTATATGCAACATTGTTACATTCAAAAACAAATGCCGATGGTTGGAAAAAAGATGGTATTACATTTTCAAATAATGAAATGCAAAAAAAAATTACTTGAAAATATTTATAAAGAAATTCATCTTGATCCAAATCATGTTGGTTATGTTGAAGCACATGGAACAGGAGCACGTGCTAGTTGGTGAACAGAATTTTTTTTTAATGATTTATTTAGATTTATTTTTTTGTTTTTTTTTCATTAGATGATCCACAAGAAATGAATTCAATTACAGAAGTATTTTGTAGTAAACGTCATCAACCATTATTAATAGATTCAACAAAATCAAATATGGGTCATCCAGAACCAGCTTCAGGTGTTGCTGCTTTAGCAAAATTACTTGTTGCTTTACAAAATGGACATATACCTGGTAAAAAAAACAATGTTCAAATGTTGTTTTCTTTCATTATTTTTGTAATTTTTATTTTAAGCTAATTTACATTATAATTCACCAAATAGAGATATACCAGGTCTTTGTGATGGCCGTCTTAAAGTTGTAACAGAAAAAACAAAGTAAGATTTAGATAAAGAATTATCGGTGATTTTAATATCTATTTTTAGACTACCAAATAATTTAATGGCAATTAATTCATATGGTTTTGGTGGTACCAATGTTCATGCCATACTTCAAGCAAATTCAAATCGAAAAGAAAATGAAAATTTATCACGAAATGAAATATGTCTTGCATTTGCTTGTGCTCGTACAGCGGATGGATGTGAAATATTCTTAAAAATTTAAAAGAATATGAAAATAATATTGAATTACAAGCATTAATTACAGAAAATTTATTTCATCCATCACATACACATACATATCGTGGTTTTACTTTATTAAATCCATCAGAATCATCAACAATAGTTAAAGTAAATAATTGTTTTCTTTTTTTAAGTTTTTCTTTTTTTTTATTTTTTAGAAATGTAACAATGAACGACGATTAGTATGGTTTGTATTTTCAGGTATGGGTACACAATGGTCTCGTATGGAACGCGATTTAATGAAATTAAAATTATTTCGTCAATCAATTGAAAGAAGTTCAATTATACTTAAAAAATATAATATTGATCTATTTCAACTTATTTTATCATCAACACCACGTGATCTTGATCATCCAATTAATAATTTTGTTAGTATTGCTGCTATACAAATTGCATTAGTTGATTGTTTAAAAACTATGGATGTTGAACAAGATGGTATTGTTGGACATAGTGTTGGAGAATTAGGTAAAAAACATTAAACTTATTTTAAAATGAAGAAAAAATAATGAGAAAATATGCTGATGGTTGTTTTACAGCTGAAGAAACAATTTTAGCTGCTTATATTCGTGGTAAATGTGTTCGAGATGCAAATCTTCCAGCAGGTAAATAATTTACTTTTTTTTTCCTTTTAATCAAATAAAAAATTTCTTTTTCGTCATTTTCAAGGTGGTATGGCTGCTGTTGGTTTAACATGGGATGAATGTAAACAAATGTATCCATCAGATATCGTCTCGGCATGTTATAATACAATTGATACAGTTACTGTATCAGGTCCTAAACAAAGCATTGAAAAATTTGTTAAAACACTTAAAGAAAAAAAATTTTTGCTAAACAAGTTGCTTTTCATTCACATTATATGATGAAAATAGCACCATTATTAAAAAAATGCTTAGAAAATGTTATTATTAATCCACCTAAACAACGTTCATCAAGATGGATTTCATCAAGTGTACCAGAAAATCAATGGAATACATCATTAGCATTAACATCATCACCAGATTATCATGTTAATAATTTATGTAGTGCAGTTTTATTTCAAGAAGCATTACAATATATTCCATCAAATGCTATTGTTATTGAATTAGCACGACATTGTTTGCTTTTAGCTATTCTTAAACGATCATTAAGTACTGATTGTGTGCATATAAATTTAATGAAACGTGGTACACATGATCATATTACATATTTTTATTCGAATTTAGGTAAAAAAAAAGAAAATTTCCTAATTATCGAAAATTAGTTTTTTGAAAGTGTTCACAAATTATAATGAGGAATAGCTTTTACCTTATGATCTGAAAGGAATGTTAAAGTATAGGAGTAAAGATTTGGACCCCATAGACCCTGCAATCCTTGCGTATATCACTAACATCTCGTTAGTGATAAGCCACTTCCTGAAATAGAAACCTCCTCTAGAATGATGGATGTAAAAGGCATCTTACAAGTGTCAAAGCTTCTATTGTGTCCAGACAACTTCAGTTTTTTTAAGAAAAGCTTCACAGATGCTATTAAATTAGTCTTGGTCAGATGCTGTTTACGTTCAAAAAATGTATCTTCAGACGTGGAATACTCATTATTAAGAATAATCTTTAGAAATCATTTTCGATTTCCATTGACATATGAGATTATGGTCACTATGTATTCTGTAACAGCTACTTTGCCCGAGAAAAGATATTTGAACATCATAACATATTAACAAATTCATATTTCTTCTGCTCGTAATACCATGGTATGGTATGGATGTGAGCATGCGCCTTCTCTTGAGCAATACTACACTCAAATCGTATTAGAAGCTCTCTCCTAAAATTTTTGAATACTTGAACATTTTAGAAGTCCCGGAGGCTTCTATTGCGATGAAGGATTTACATGAACTACTTCCTTATTACATTTTTGAAGGATTAAGTAAAAGGATCCTGAAGAAATGTGTTCCAAAATAGATACATTAAAACAATTTTCCTGCGATTAATAAGAGCAGCTACATCGTTTTTCACATTTTAATCTCAGGAATTTCGTTAACAGCTTTTATTTAAATGAACATATGAGTATTTACAATAGTGTAAATATACATTTGCATATTGCTAATAAGATTAAAGTTAAAAGAAATACCAGAGATCAGTACAAATACGTTTCCAACATTACTTTTCATGAATATTTGAATCATTATGTTAAATATATTTACATTCACTAATTTAAGATTGAACTTTATTTAGGTAAACTCTATAACGAAGGTGTTATTTTAAATATTATGTCAAATTATGAATCAATTCAATATCCAGTACCAATTAATGTTCCGTTTATATCTTTAATTGCTGCTCAATGGGATCATTCTCAACAATGGAAAGTTCCAACATTTGAAATGTTTACACAATCATTAGGTTCAACACAACAAGCTAAACATGAAATAGATCTTAATGATGATAGTGAATATTCATTTGTAATTGGTCATCAAATTGATGGTCGTTGTTTATTTCCTGGAACTAGTTATCTTGTTTTAGTATGGAAAACATTTGCTAAATTACATAATTATGAAGATTATCGTCAAATATCAGTTTTATTTGAACAAATTCAAATACATCGTGCAACAATATGTTTATTAACAAATAAAATAATTTTTTATGTTAATATTTTACCAACAAATGGTACATTTGAAATAACTGAAAATAATACTATTATTGTTACTGGTCGCATATCATTAAGCGAACAATTAACAATGCAAAAATTTCATAAACAAATAAAATTAAATAATACAGAAAAACATTTACAAACAAATGAAAGGACGGGGGCGTATAAGGGTCGATTTTGGGCTATCTTCAGTTTC